GAAGGTGTCACAAGAAATAATCAGTGTCAGACAGTCAGAGAGAAACTCAAGATGGCAAAGTATTTGAAAATTCTAAGGTTTGCTTGACAAAACTGGATTTTTTTGGATGGCGCCCTCTGATGACCTAGACGCAACCCGGGGCCATCATTGTTTCGCTTGCATGTGATTCAATGTACAAGATCGGTATATAGCGTATATGACAAGCTTTCAGTGTCCTTATTTTGGCGATGGTTGGTACACATTTACAAACGACACAGGTAATGTTTTATTAAAAATAAAAATCGGAGAAAAACGTCTGATAAGTTAAAGCAATTGCTGTTTTAACAACCTCACAATCAGTTTCAGGCGATGCTATAGTTCATATGACCGTTCCTGTAATAGCATCGAGGGCAGAACATCGTGTACGTTTCGTGTACACCGCGAGTCTTGGGACGTAGGTTACCAATGATGTTTTAATATTTTGTTACCACTACGTATTTTTAACGGTGACGCTTTCTAAATTCACTTGTAATCAGGGGATACTATATCACAAGAAACTGTAAGATTGAGTTTCTTTTTCTATTTTCATAGTAATGTATTGGGTACCTTTGTATAGTGCCCAGTATATTTTATACACATACACAGACAGTTTGTCTGTGATTATCTGAAATTGGATCTAGAAAATGGTGTGCCGTTGACTTTGACATCCCCATACAGAGGTGTTGATATGTGTGTAAATGAAGCAGGGCTGAAAATTTAATTTGAATTAATTTAATTTAATTTAAATTTAAACCTTATGTTGATATATTCTGGGCGTGAAATATACAGTAACACGCCACACAGGATACATGTTAAATAAATATGTTCAACGAATGACTAGGCTGGTTTTAAAGGGAGTAAGAACCATTTTGTTTAGGCTTATTTGCGACGCTGTTGGAATTGAGATGTTCTCGGGACTGATTGACGTCCCAATATGTGACACAGAGTCTCTTTAGGCGAGAAACTCGCTTCTAAATTGCTGTGCGAGGAATAGACACAAACACAACAGTGCTGCAATCGTGGTGCGCCTGCACACGTTTCCACAGTAGAAAGGACTACATTGAATAGTGAGCGTGTAGTTTTAGTCAGATAACTACTGCCTTCTTGCAGGTGGTTTATGTATTAGTTTTCTACGTGAATTAACTAACCTGTGCATTGTATTTCTTCTGATGAAAATGAACTATGGCTGTGTCGAGATTTGTGTCCACTTTCGTGACTATGCGTATGTCCACTTTCGTGACTATGCGTATGTCCACTTTCGTGACTATGCGTATGTCCACTTTCGTGACTATGCGTATCTCCACTTTCGTGACTATGCGTATCTCCACTTTCGTGAATATGCATATCTCCACTTTCGTGACTATTCACATGGCTATCTTCTGAACTGCTCGTATATCCACTTTCGTGTCCCTATAGATTTAAAAACAAAAGAAATCTGGAATAATCCGACGTTTAGGAGATCAGGTATAATTTCGTTAATTGTCAACACAGGAAATTGTCAACTCTGATAGACTTGTGAAATAACGTTTACAACGCTAATTAGACGCAGCGTAACAGCAATAATACACATTTCCATCGACTTTTATTTATCATACAATATTGTTAGTATCAAATACTGTATATACTAAAGGATGAATTTACTTTTAAGATGACCTTAATTGCTTGCACACACACAAGCCTATTGTCTTGGTGGATTTACTAGTACTGTTAACAATGGTTTTATCGAATAAAATTCAATTCCGAAACACAAAGAATCAAGAAATCGTGTTACAAGTTCCAGTTCCATTTAAAAAAAAGCGCCGACCATCTATTGCAATGCTTGTAAAAGACAGGGGAATACTACCGCTATGTCACTTGATAGATGAGATAAGAATATATATGAGTACATTATAGTTCAGAACACCTTAATAAAAACTGAACCTCTACAATTAATATGTTGAAAGATGAGTGACACAAATGGAGTAAGTGTCTTTTGATGTAATACCCTAGGGTAAATGGTGATGTCACATTAATATCTTTTAGTAAAATTTGTCAACAATTTAATATTGTTATTAATGTATTATATTGTATATGAATGTTTAAATAGAACACGTATTTGCTTGGTGAAAAATAGCATGTCTGTCACATATACACAGCATTTTATATAGCAGTGTTCGGGCCACAATTTAGTTTTTTTCTACTCAACGATTTCCATTAAAGTTACAGCACTGTAGCGTTTAGGCAATGAAAAACATGATCAAAGGCGAATGAACAATGCTTACAAATTTCTCTCTCTAAATAACGATGCTAGCAGTGTCATGGGCAAGCAAATTCGTTCTTTAATGCTATGTTACATTCAAAGACTTTCGCTAGCGCTATGGACATGCATTACTCCCAATTGTATGTGTTGTGCGTTCTCCTTCTGGTCTTCGCTTGACTCCTAAATGAATATTTGCTTCACGTACACTCTAGAAAATGAAAAGCCTTCAAAGAATCTATATAATACCACGATGGATTGTTATTTTAATAGGCCTCTCATGTCAATGACTTGTAACATGAATAACTAAAGTCACGCTTGTGAGTGGAAAATCCCATCATAGATGCAAAGCACTTATTCTTTCTAATACACTATCGTATGAATATGTTTTCTTATGATAACACACATTTATCATATTAACATATTCCCTTTCATTCAAATTGAGTCGTGGATAGTTAAGGATCCTTTAAGAAGGGCCACTGTGTCATGGCAACGGGATCCAGATCTCTTTCAAAATATAACCGATAATCGGAGCTTGTTACTTTAGTGTTGCTTGTTACATATGGAGCCTTTCCTTCTTAGAGAAGTTTGTCCACAAATGTGTCAGTTATCATAAAGGAATCATCCCCATAATTGTAGTTTTCATGGAAAGCACTTCCAGATCTCGCTAAATATTGATACTATAAGAATAAACTTTTCTGAATATTTCATTACAATTTGTTCAACACCTTTCAAGAATCGTTTTAAAATAGCTGTTTCCACGGCAACCGGACAACATATAATCGATTGGCACTTATTTAAAGAGCAACCCAATTTGAGAAAATAAATTTATTATCTAAATCACATCTCCTAATTCTCCATGTGTGTTTAATATCAATATCAATCACAGTTTTAAAGTAACAGGGATGAAACGAGTTGACATTCTCTAGAAGTTACGATGCATGCTACTATAAAAACCTACACATATTCTGAAAGCTTAGATATAGGTAAAACGGCAGAGGTAGTGCATATGTCATACAAATATTTGTCTGAGGGAATCTCTGACAGGCAATTTTTCTATTGTGTTCTTTTTTACTTCTACTATGATAAGTACTTTCAACCATGCGAATGAACGTGGTTTGCACAGGACGGGAGTGTCGTATGCTTGACGATCGCGTCTCGATATTTCATTATCTGTCTTGGTTTTCTAGCTACAACTAAACTACAATTACAAACAACTACAGAAAATCCGCTGTTGGTAGCATTTGGAAATATGATCAATGAGTGTACGTCAAATTCATTATGCGTAATTACATTGCACTTCTGGACATCCCGTTCTGATTATTTCCGTAAACAAATGTTTTTAAAAATAATTATATTGCGTTTCCTAGTATTGCGAAGTTACCCTGGCCTAATTACTATTGATAACCTTTTGTTTATCTTAATATTTAATCACACAATCTGCTTTGTAATGCATGAGTTAATTGCGAGAAGGTTTACATAAATTTGTATTATAATTTAAAAAATAAAAGACTAGTATTGCCTACTTCAAATGTCACTGATTATGAACCTTTTTTCTCACGAGAAACTGTTCCATAATACAAAATGTTTCACTGGAAAGTATTCCCACCAGAGTTCCAGTGCTACTTTTTATAGGGGAATGCCATTCTTAAATTAGAAAGCGCTTTTTAGTAACCTTTCAATACTAAACTATCGACACAAAGTACGTTAGGTATCTAAAGCACAATATACTAAATACTTACATGAACCCAACTCAATGGTACACTGCATATTAGAAGAAACAGTCCAAATCCTTTCATTTCAGTATATAGGTCTTGTCGATGTGTAAATCTGTAATTGCATAAATATGAAGACACTAACGCATTTGCTAATAATATGTTAAATAAACAACTCAGTCAATGGAAAATCACCGACCACCTATAAAGATTCGAATTGATCATGTGGTTAAAGAAGACGTAATATGTGTCTATTCTTGCTATCGCTAAACATACGTTGCCACTTTTGTATGTCTAATTCGTGAAGCTTGCTATTTGATTTTGAACTAATATAATTACAAACTCACGGCCATGACAACGCCAAAATGTCTTCCCCCAAAATAGCGTAGTTTGAATCTCCTCAGAAAAGACAGACCAAATATATACATATATATCTAGACACATATGCAAATATGTACTGACTGGCTTTAAACAAATCTTCTTGTTGAAGGTGTAAATAGAGCTTACCGCTAAGTGAGCGAGTACCAGTTCTGCTCCACGCACAAGTGGTGGAGTGATAGAAACCGACAGCTTTATATCCACATCCAGGGTGACGTGTTCACAATGGCTTTTGTTGTACCTACTTGACTGATACAAAGATATGATAATATCAATGAAAATAATTGTTCACGAGTCCACTGCTGTAGATTACGAGATTACTGGAAATGATTTAATCTCCCATTATTCTGTTTAATGTCTTAGTTCCTGACAAGAGTTGCAACAGCTAATAATAATTCTATGGTGTTAGAGAAAACAAATTCGATTGAACGCGTTTGTAAAAACACAACACTGTATCTTGTCACTCACTCCCCCGTACTTTCACGGCAGTCAAACATATGTCGGAATAATCATTCTACTTGTAATACACTTTGTAAACCTTGTTTTCATTACGTTTTTGCAAGTCATCCAATTTATTTTACTTATTCAGCATATGGCGTATCCACTGTGTAAGCTAACTGTCAATGCAATAGTTGCCACTATTTTCTCTTGTTAGTCAGAAAACCAAATAACGACCTGGAAAGCGCGATTGTTGAGTGATATTTTGAAGGTATGTTTAACTAAGGCATTTGTTCCACGGTTAATGGGCGTCATTGGAAACAATAGCTCTATGAAATTATGTCTTTCAAATGCCCTACAAGTAATAATATCTACGATATAGACCATTATTTTAAAATGCAAAAAAAGGGCAGATCATGTTTTGTATTAAGAGAATGTAGTGCCACAAATTCAGAACACGGGAAAATCATGAGACAAAATCAGTGGTCACCCATGTTATAATTGTCATTCTGGACAGTAAACAAAATACAGTAGCGATCATAAGATGAGGTTTAGGTTTGTTTTAAAGTGGAGTTTGAGTGTTTAGCGGCAATAAAAACCAACGCTAAAAACGCAAAGGCGCATGAGTAAACGCACGTTCGTAAGCGACGACACGCTATGGACGCCTGTCACACGGATATATTCTCTAAAATGTGTAGAACAGCGTGTATAAAATGTTATCGTAGGCAATTTATAACGCATGCTCATTATTGTCACTGAGGCAATGTTTTTCCCGGGTAAGAAAAACTTTTTAAAATCTAGAAGCGACTGATTCTTATCAATCGACTGTTCTTTGTCTCTCAAAACATTACACCACGTAATAATTGACTGGCACTGGATTTGTGATATTCGATGTCTACTTCTTGTTTTATGAAAAACACACACGATTATAATAGGGTCCTTATTCACAGGAAGAGGAAGCAATCCCTATCAATTTAGCTACGCAATTTTATTTGATGACGAACATAATCTAAATCGTATCTTGGATCCGGTCGAAAATTTCAAGGGTAATTATTTGCATGGAATTGACCTAAATTATATTTAAAAAATGGTAATCTCATTCACGTAAATAAAAAAATAGCAGAGGAGTTTGTATTACGCCATTGTATTAAACATAAATTCACTAACGCAAAAATTGACGCAAATCAGAATAATAATGATTCTTTTTTATGAAATATGTTACTGCTGATATCATTTATCGAATTGGTGTCGAGTATTTATCACTTTGACATCACATTATGATTGCATCATGATTCGAGTTGGGCATTTATCACGCTTTAGTCGCATACTTGGGTCGTTTTTTTAACCACCCCAAGTGAAAATCAGTAGAAAATATAAACCACTTGAATTCTATGATCGCCCATGACCGTGAGATCTTTAATTTTTATCATGACCTGTGTCTGTTCGAACCCCGGTGTGCTGCGGCAATTTACGCGTTCAAAACGTAAATGCGGTAAATGTGGGATGTGAGAGCAATAAATGGGCGATAAAAGCTCAGTAAATAGGTGAGGCGAGGGCGTGGATTGCCGACGCCGGCGTGATAAATGAGAGCCCGATAAATAGGCGATGTGAGTGGGATGAATGGACCCCGGGGGAGGGGCACTTGCATTGCATAGAAGTCCAATACGGGTATGACTGGGGTGTTATTTCACGTTATTATATTTAGAAGTGGGTAGCCATTTATCAATGGTTTGGTTTAGAAATGTGTAGCATTTATTTACTTTTTCACACGTCCTTATATTTAAAGCCAAATACCGGTTTAGAAGTGAGTATGGTTTACGAGAGGTGGGCTTCACATCCTTACCCACTTAATGTGGAAGTAGCCCCCCGGAAAATGGTCAAAGCGAAATAAATGGGCAATACATGTCCAGTAAATAGGCAGTGCGAGGATGTGAATTGCCGACGTAGGCGTGATAAATGCAAGCGCGATAAATGGGCGATGCGAGCGGGATAAATGGGCGATGCGAGCGCGATAAGTGGGCAATGAGAAAGCAATGAATGGACGATGTGCACTTCGCATTTATCGCGTTCGCGCCGCCCGTTTATTGATTTACCTACCTTCCTTACACCGTTTGCATCACCAAGCTATTCCACTCGCATGGCCCATTCATCGCCCTCGCACCACCCATATACTATACGCTGACATTGCTCATTCATCGCCATCGCATTGCTATTTTACCTCATTCGCATCACCAGTTTATCGCGCTCGCAACGCATATTATCGCATTGCACGTTTATCTACCTCGCTCACACCGCACATTTACCATCGTCACCCAGCTCACTCGAAGAACATTCCTACGCTGGACCCCACAAGGTAAACGATTGCCATGTGATATTTGCCCAGGTATGTCATCAAATCCACCATCCTGTCCATCTTAAAGCTCGCGACTTGTGTTATATTCAGCAGAATTTACCGTCAACTCTTCATATATTGTAAATCACTATTACTATCACGATGTAAAAAATATTACCTCATTGACTTAAATTAGGAGTCAACAGTTTAGTGATTGCACAAAATATGTTTCCTTGCATCATCATGATGGACATGACAAGTAGAACTGTGCTGTTGTTTTGAATAATAAATAGGTTGTTATTTGTTTGACCTTCTCCGTCAAACCTCGATGAAATCATCACCGAAGAGTAAGTGTGTAAAACGCGTTCCCTATTCAATATATATATATATATATATATATACATATATATATATATATATATATATATATATATATATATATATATATATATATATATATATATATACAGTCAATCAAGCATCTGTGTCAGATTCCAATTCCATCATGCAAAGTACCAGATTCAAACAGATAACAACACAAAGACTTTAACGATTTTCTAACGAGGCATATGTACAATGACCACGTCAATATACAAGGCTATAATCTTCGATAAAAAACACATTTGTATAGCGCTTTGTTGTCCCGTGAAAACGAAAATATGAATTGCAAATGTTGTTTAATGTTAGAATGACACACTGTAGGTTCATTTACTTGTTATGTGCTTCAAATTTAATCTTGTATATGTATCTGTCAGAGAGTTTCAGGACTAACAACTCAAGTGTATTATACCTCCAAACAGATGGGCTGTGTGCATGACTCTATCGTTGAATCTAAACAATCAGAATGAAAATATACCGTAGTTCCGATTCAAATTATGTGATAACAAAACCCGATTCAAAACATGATTGCTTATTTCCTTCTCTTAAGACCATGACAGGTTGGCAAACCAACTCATATTGCACATTGTGCTTTAGATTTTTAAAATAAATTATGTTTCCTCTCGACAAAAATAAATTAACCATGCGCTAAACTAATTTTCAAAAAAACTTGTTTTTTTGTCGAT